TGTCATGACCTCTCAAAACTCCTTGCTCACACTCTTATTGTATTCTATCTTGCTTGAAAACAGTGGTTCCCTGTTACTTTCAAACTTGTATGGCTAAAATGTTGGCAATTCCTGCTATAACTGGGCAGTCCTTGAACCCCTGGGATCATAGCTACAGTAGCATTTGTTTGCCTGACTGGTTGATCTGCAAGATCACTCTTCTAGGTAGTTGTTTTTTGAGCAGCTAACTACTTCAGTGGCATAATCACTTCAGGTTTTCCAAGTCTCCTGCCACTGTTGCTATCATGTACATATCTTTGTTCTGGAATCTTCAGCCCAACTTTTGATAAACTTTAAAATGTTCTTACTGCAAACAAGTGCAAACTTTCTCAGCCTCTCTTCTGGTTGCACACTTTGCTGTTTTCATTCTCTCTCACTGGAAGCAGAGAGCTCTTCACACAGCATGCATGGACTCTGGACCCTTCCTCCTCCTTAACTAAGGTCTGTATTCTGTTTGCTCTTAAATCTACAGATACTCAGGTGGTTTTCACCTGTCCTCGTGTCTATTTTACAACTTCCCCCTGCTTATTCCCTGGAGATTCTTAACACCAATGTCAGCCTATCATGTAGCAGGTGACCTTCATATTCTACAAACTTAATTGATTTCTTTTTTCTTTTTATTGCTGCCCTGAAGTTAGGCTGATTCATATCTACAGTACTGTCTGGCCACAGTCATGTGGTGGGGACCAGAAGCTATGAAACCTTCCTTGGAAGGAGCCTGATGCTGCACGCTTCATGACAGGCTCTTTTTCTTCACCACATCTCACCCCTTAGATTCTAAGTTGAGATATTCTCAAACAATTTAAATTTGAATTAATTGAGCATTTCATTTATACAAATAACACTTAAGGAAGATACATTTGAATATACTTTAACACATATACTTTCTAAAACTATTTTCGGGGACACTTAAATATTCTATGTATTCTTTATTTCATTGTATCAATATTTCAAATTTCTTTTGTTACACAATGCATTCTCAAATATTTGATGTTCAATGGTTATATTTTGAACAGAATATTATAGCATCTTTGATCAATTTTTAATTCCTCATTCAGAATTGCTCAAAATCACCACTAAATTTATTTATGTTGGACATGATAAAAGCTGAGGTATTCCTTGTTTGTTCTTCAATAGAATAGTTCATTGAGATACAAGACCTATACACATCATGTTTATATTTGCAACTTCTTTCAAATAGAGCACAGATATATATGTGTATCTCTATAGATTGATACCAAGTTTATCAGTTGATATTTAAAAGTGTGTTGTCCTAGCTTGATTAGTCAGCAACATATACCAAGTAGTTATAAAGACCCAACTCTAATGTGAGAACAAAGAGCATTTGATATGAAATAACACAATGAAAACCAAAACGGTTTTGAGTATCTGCTCTATTTTCTATACTTTTAACCTACTTTTTTACAGCACTGAACAAATTCTATAATGAAAGTAGTAATGAATGTCTAAAATAAAACACAGAAATTGTTCTCTATGTCATTATCAAATATTGCCAAGTACTGAAAGAATTTTTAATAAACAGAACAAAATTAATGTACACACAAGAAATATAGTTGAATTAAAGTACTAAAATAAGGAGTTAAAAAGTAAGGCTACTCTGAATCTATTAGAACAATATTTTTTTAAACTAATACATATTCTCAAGTACAATAAACTTCATGTCAAAATAATTCACTGTTTCAGTAATGGATTTATTTTATTATAGAAATACATGACATGAATAAAACGAACTTGAATTTAATTCTCTTTTTTATTTTAGTGCTTTGACTTGTGGTTTGATTGAAGCAAGAACACTATTTTGTAATTACTTGGAGAAGAGATTGATTTGGGTGTCTAATTCTAAATTTATTAGAATTGAAGAAATATAGCTGAGAAATAGAATGCAGAAACTGTCCAATGGTTCTCTTGCTTGATTTGAATAATAAACCTTAGCCAAGACAGCAACTTAAAGTTTTATGCTTAAGCATTTTGATCCTACTCATTTCTAAAAAAATTCTTTCTTCCAGAAATAAAATGAAAGACAAATAAAAAGAAGCTTATGACAGACATATGTTATGTAATTTAGATTGTTCATTTGAACCTAACTATAAAATTTGTTGTTATTCAAATAATGATAGAGAAAAATATATAATAAATATTTTATATAAGAGTATTATGTAAAATAACATACACTTTACTTGATTTCTATCTTTATGTGGTGAAATCCAATATAATGTTAGGGGTCTTTATTCTACAATTCTTTTTTTGGGGGGTCAGGATAAATGATTTCTTTGAACCTCAGTTTTCCCTCACATAATATAGAACTGAAAATTCATTTTTCTATGTGATGAATTTTTTTCATGATTATAATGTCACTATAAATATTACAAAAAGTGAAAATATGAGTTTCAAATATTTGAATTGACTACTTGTGTCCCATTCCAATTTGGTAAACAATTAAATCACACTGCTAACTTGTGCAAGAAATTTGTTCATGTCTTTGAAATTCATCTTGGTCTTCAAATCACAGTATTATCATATATATATATATATATATATATATATATATATATATATATATATATATGTGTTTGTACATGTAGGTCAGCATTGAAAATTCAAATTATAAATGAATGAAAGTGTTGTTCCAAAGTAAATTGTTAGCAGTGAAATACTCTTCATAATTACTATATTAAAATGTTACATATGAAAAATAGAAGCATTTGAATGTATATTTTAGCCATTATTAAAATTAAGAAAAATAAAAACTAAGTATTAATAATATAAACATATTTTATAATTAATATTATCTTGACAGCAAAATATATTTTACTTTTATATGAAAATAATTCAAATATTTCATTTAACCTCATGTGTAAAGTATTTAATTTTGTTTTTCTAGTAAATGAAAACTATTTTGACATCAGTTATTATTATTATAAAGTATTATAACAAATAACAATTTCCCTAAAGTTAGAAATGAACATCCATATACTTATAAAACTCCAAAAATATTATGCACAAAATATTTATTATGACAAAGATAAATAGGCTTCCTTGGTTATTTTGTAAAATTTATTTTCTAAAGAGTAAACAGTATTTAATAAGTTTCTGCTTGCCCTTGGTTTTTCAGGAGCAGAGATACATTTGTAGCTCAGCTCTAGGTTTGACCACAGGTGATGTGTTTTAATCATTTATTTAAATGGTAATTTGGCAACAATTACAATAAAAGCTAATTGTTGTTGGATCTTCATACCGGGATTCCTGAGTATAGTGTTCTTCCCAGATGCCTTTTTGCTGCTTTCAGGTCGTTGTTTGCATAACTGTCCTCGTTAAATAAGGAGGCATCCTAGGCTGACAAAATGAGACAGAAGCCTCTAACTATGTAATACAACTGTGTTTGGAACAGGGTTTTCTGACATCTGATGCTGTAGATTGTAGGACAAAGCAGTAATTTATCATCAGTACAGGCACATGTGAGATTTGTCATTCGGCAGGCATAGTAACACTGATCTGTAGAATTTATTGCCACACGCTTTGTTTAGCTGTGAGAGGAATTTAAATGAGTTATGAAGTCCTATCTCACCTGTATTTTTTTCTACTCACTTTTTGCAAATTTGGTTTTTGGATTATGTACAGCAAGCAATCTACGGAGGTTACATAGGATTTTAAAGATAAAATATTAGTTTTATGCGTAATCTATGTGTGTGTCCCAGAAGCATCTATATCTTTCATTTTTGGTTTCATAATAATTACTAAAGGACCATTCAATTTTTATTTTTGGCAAAATAAATATATTTTATCATTAAAGAGATTTACAATTTTATAATGTCTTATGCAATTCTTTGAATATATTGTATTCATAATTAAAAGTGTATGAAATAGTTACATCACCTTCTTTTCCTCTAGATAAGACAATATTCAATTTATTTTCCTAATTACATTGTTATGATTGTATAATCTTGTCATCTTCAACTGCAGATATAGGATCATTGACTTGTTTTCATTACTAGCTGACTCTCAATTTTTCTACTTTTCTGTCCCCTCTTCCTCCCAGTCACCTCTTCACAGACAGAGTCTGCATGACACTAGGTACTACCTACAAATACATGCCAAGGAAAATTGGTCCATCTAAGAAAGATGCCAATAAAGAATCTTAAAAGTCACACCTGTATAATCTCTCTCTCTCTCTCTCTCTCTCTCTCTCTCTCTCTCTCTCTCTCTCTCTCTCTCTCTTTCTTTGGTTTTACAAAACAGGATTTGTCTGTGTAACAGCCCTGGCTGTCCTGAAACTCAAGCTGTAGACCAGGATGGCCTTGAACTCATAGAGATATGCCTGCCTCTGCCTCCCGAGTACTTGGATTAAAGGTATGAGCCAACACCACCCGGGTATATATATGTGCTTTAATGTTAAAATATTACCTACAAAAACACAAGCAACCATATTTTTTGAAGCGATGATTTCAAAATTATTCTTAGCAGGTGTTTAAAAATCTGTCTCCTCTGTCAAAGCCAATGCTTGGAGACATGCAATTTAAGTTTTAGTTAGAATGCCAAAATACCATCATAGTGAATGAACACTTATATAACCCTTCTCTAATAAATATAATATAGTTACTTTTTAACAATGTGATTAACTTTGACTTTCTGCTCAAGTTGGTTCGTGATATGATAATATTTGTTTTCTTCCCTACAGTGCATCTAGGACTATATTGAATAGAAATTACTTATCTTCTTTCTAAAGAAAGTTTGAAAAATAACTTATTAACATGTCACTTCCTAAAATATGGCTGATAGCTAGACAATACGCCCCAGTAATCAAGGTATTGAAGCCTTCCAGACATTACTACGTGTTTTCTTCATCTATATTTGAGTATATATCTTACTAGAAGTTACTTTAAAAATAGTTCTTCATAGCTTGTATTACGGAGATTTTATGGAATTTTTTTTTCTTTTTTAAGACACACTTTTTAATGGTCTTGGGCTAGGAGCCATCATTGGCCTTGGAGTCGCTGCCCTTTTGCTAATCCTCGTGGTGATAGATGTCAGCTGCTTCTTCATTCGACAATGTGGGTTACTGATGTGCATTACCAGAAGAATGTGCGGGAAGAAAAGCGGCTCCAGTGGAAAGAGCAAAGAACTTGAAGAAGGAAAGGCAGCATACCTGTGAGTATAAGACACCAGCACCACCTCCCATGAGTGACATTCATGATCAACTTGAACGCTTTGTTCGGGGCTGTCTTCTAAGACATGCCAGATGTTCAACTAGAATACAGTGCAAATATTACTATATCAGATATTCTATCTGATGTAGTCTCACAAATATGAATACATCTTTGATAAATTCTTTCTAAGGAGTGAGACTATGGAAGCATCTACAAATAGTTCATTTACATTCTTTCCAAGTTGATGTTACACTAACATCCCAACCCAAGGCAACTGCTACTGAATTTTTTTCTGAAATTTTTTTTTCCTAATTTAAAACTTCCTGTGAAGGAGTGCTTCTGTATGCAGTGCTTTGTATCTGGCAAAGTGTTTCAGGAGTTGTTTGTAGAGTGCTTTCTTTGAGGTTTGGTCATTTCAGGGTATTTCAAATACTATCAAATTTGTTCTTTGATAGTTTCATGCTTTTATATAATTACTCTCACTTCACCTCTTCTTCAGCTTCACTGTCTTCTGGGAGCTAGTCAGGAAATTTTCTTTTTATTATCTCATATTATCTCTTCTTTTTTTCCCACCTGTGTAGCCATGGGAAAGTTATATATGTAATTTAATTACATAATTTTGTTTGCCTAGTAAGAGGGTTTTCATTCGCTTAAAGTTTTGTTGTTTTTTTTTTTTTTAATTTGGTCCTTGTTCAATATCATTTTAAAAATAAAATATTATTTGTGGTTTTACTATGTGCATATAGTGGTATATGTTAAGATGTAGATCAGAATTTTGAGTATATTTCTCTAGTTAGTGTTTGTTCAACTTGACATCAGATGGAGTCATCTGAGAACAAGGAACCTCCATTGAAAAATTGCACAGAGCAGACTGTCCTGCGGGCATGTCTATAGAACATTTTCTTAATTGGAAATAGATGTGGAAGGGATCAGAACTATGGACAGCGTAACCCAGGGAATATCCTGGGGTATATAAGAAAGCAAACTGAACAGATCAGCAGGAGCAAGCAGCATTCTTCCATGGTGTCAGCTTCCGTTCTTACCCCCAGGTTCCCTGCTCTGTTGGAGTTACTACTGCTTCCCTTCCATCCCTGGTGGACTGTGATCAGGACTTGTATGCCAATAAATCATTTCCTTGCTAAACTACTTTAGATCAGCGCTTGTATCACAGCGATAGAAAGCAAACGAAGACACATAGGTCCACATATGTCTCTCTATTTCTACATTTAGAACAGTTGCTGTCTGAATGCTTTTACAATGATGGGAGTAAAGAGTTCACAGATGCGTAACCATAGAGCATGTGCATGAAGCTTAATGGATGTCCACAGACTAGACACTGTTGTTCAAGTTTCTCATCAATATAATAATTTTACCATTTAAATTTCCTTTGCATTTTTTATTTAGTTTTAAAATAGAAGTTCTACTTTAGTTTCTCAGACTACATACTGATTTGTACCATGTGTGTAATATACAAATGGATGCATCCACACTGAGCATTTTTCTAACTTCTTCACTCCATCTAATATTTGTTTACAAAACTTGTCTATATTATGTGTATAGATACATTGTGCCTTTAAATCTCTATTCAACAGTTAATTATGGGATAATTTATTTTATCATTAAAATTTTAACTGATGTTTTAGTAGTATTCACTTTACTTCTGTGAAATCCCAATTCAAAATTTTTCTTCTATATTCAACTGTGGAATTGAAGGCATATAGAATATACCTCTCCAGCTTTTGGAGACCCTGAGGAAAAAAAAACTCAAGTGATTATATCAGTTCAAAATACCCCAGAGCAAGAACATTTTCTGCATTTTATTTCTGTTATTTTATAAATTATATCTATTATATATCATTTTCAATTTAGTCTCATAATTTTCTGAAATCATTTGAATGTCAAATGTTGCCATTCAAGGACACAGGCATTTAAATTTAATACAGTAAAATTTTCTAATCTTCTAATTTTTGATTCTGCTTTCAAAGTTTTAAGTTATAAAATTGCACTAAGTTAACTTTGTTTAATGTCCAGAAAACTCCTATATTCCTATCTTTTACTTCAACTTACCATGGTTGGGATCCAGATTCTTCTCAGTAATTTCACTTTAATCTATGTTTACACAACCGCACTGCTAATTGAAACTGCCATGCTTACAAATAGTAATGTCTTTTGACAATATCTGACAGACATGTAGGAGTGAGTCTTTTCTTGTGTTCCCTATTGTGCTATTTTTTCATGTTATCTTTTAACCAATACGGCAATATTACATTTACTAATCACTAAATGCATATACAGTTTTTTGTCATTGACTTGAAGCTTTCTTTACTTTGCTAGTCTTCAGGTTTGCTTTGCTACCCTTGTCTCTGGTATTTCAGCTGAAACCATTTTATAATTCTTCCACAGGCACACACAACACACACACAACACACACACACACACACACACACACACACACACACACATACACACATAAAAACACACACATAGACATACACAAATCTTATATAACACATCATATATAATTAATTACTTAATAAAAGTTTCAGTTGTTCCAAATATATTTTCTTCAGTTTGAGATTGAAAACAAAATGTAGCCTCACAACTGTCACCCGCATTCAGAGGGCCTAGTTTGGTTCCAGGCTGGTTCCTCGGCTGTCAGTCCGGAGTCCTTGAGCTCCCACTAGCTTGGGTCATCTGTCTCTGTGGTTTTCTCCATCATGATCTTGACCCCCCTTGCTCATGTGGTCCTCCTCCCTCTCTTCAACTGATCTCCAGGAACTCAGCCCAGTGCTTGGCTGTGGATCATTGCATCTGCTTCCATCAATTATTGGATGTAGGTTCTATGATGACAATTAAGGTAGTCACTAATCTGATTACAGGGGAAGGCCACTTCAGGCACCCTCTCCATTCTTGCTAGGAGTCTTAGCTGGGGTCATCCTTGTGGTTTTCTCTTCCTGGGGTAGGAGAAGGGGAAGGAGAGGGAACTGGGGATGGTATGTAAAATGAAAAAAAAAATCATTAAAAAAAGAAAAAATATGTAAAGGACAGGAATTAGTCTCAATTGAAAGTTTATGTGGCATATCAATAACAGTGAGATTAATTTAGTGTTCAATTTCTCTTTCATCATAGTTTACATCCTGATAATTTTCTGTGATTCATTGTCTGGGAAATTCAGTCAGTAAAATTATTGTTAGTTTTTTTGTTACTGTTGTTTATTTCTATGCATAGAGAGAGACCTGTGGAGAACGTTATTGATGAAATAGTCTTACAACTCTGTGAAGGCATATATATTTTATTTTCAGCATTGTGTAATTGAAACAGTATTTCTAGTGACTGTTTACAATGCTGTTATGAATTTCTTAATTATTTTAAAATTTTTTACACTTAACTTTTTTAAGAGGCAAGAAAGTCTTCATATTTTAAGCTTTGATTAATAAAATATTTTAATTTTTAAAAATAGCTTTTAAAATGCAAATTACTTTTTCCAAAATAATGGTCCTTTTTTTTTTTCTTTTTGAAACATGGCCTTTCTTCATAGTCAAAGCTGGTCTCAAATTTACAATCTTCCTATTTAGCTGCACTAGATTACAGATGTTTGCTACCTTACCTAACAAGAAACAACAACAATATCAAAAATATAATGACAATGATAATAAGAGACTGATTTCTTCTTTCCAGTTACTTAGTACAAAATCATGAAAATAGGAATTTAAAAGAAAAAATGTTCAAGTTTGATTAACTGGAAAGTTTCTACTGTGTGTGTGTGTGTGTGTGTGTGTGTGTGTGTTTCACACTTGAGCATTTGACACATTGAAGAATTAAATATTTTAATATATCTTTTTAGGAAAGATGGATCAAAAGAACCAATCGTGGAAATGAGAACAGAGGATGAAAGAATCACAAATCATGAAGACGGGAGTCCGGTCAACGAGCCAAATGAAACCACACCGCTAACAGAGCCTGAGTACGTAGCTCAAATGCTTGTATTTGGGAATCAGTAACAGTAAAGTGGAAAAGTGTTGTAGTTATTGGTAACAAGAAATCAAAGATATCATTAGCATGAATGGAATTATTTTGTAGTCCATTTGTTTTGTTTTTGTTGTTTGCTTTTGTTGTTTTTATTTTTGTTTTTTGTTTGTTTCTTTGTTTGTTTGTTTTGTGCCTGTCCTGGATCTCACTCCATAGACCAGGCTGGCCTGGAACTCACAGAGATCTGCCTGGCTCTACTTCCCAAGTGCTGGGACTAAAGGCGTTTGCCACTGCCACCTGGCATTGTAATCCATTTCTTTAAGTTCTTTCACTTGAAAATTCTCTAACAGTATTAGAAAAATTTAAGCCTTAAATTATATATTTACACTCTCATATAAAATGTTAAAAATAAAAAATGTGTTCCAGAATTGGATTTTCATACACTGATTGATAATTTGAGGGAAATCATATTTTAAATTATAAATAAATTTTACTGAAATATAGATGTGGCAGGAAATGAGTTACCACACTGAATATTGATAAATATTACAGGATAATTAGATTATTAAGGAAATTATTATTTCACATACTTTCACTAAATTTATTTTTTGACCATTTCATAAACATATCCTGTGTATTCTAATTCCTTTCTTCTGTACTGTCTCTCATCTTATTACCAGTCTTATCAATCCATCTCCTCTCTATAACTCATCTCTGTTGACAGAGTTTTTAACATGTACCTTTTGTGACCATGAGTCTGTCTATCTACTGGAGTATGATGGAGAGACAATGACTCACCAAGGAGTGTACAACAGAATAGAATGACTATTTTTTGAGCCATCATCCATCAGTGGTCAACAGTTCTGCAAAGAGGTCCTGTAAAGCATGTCCCTAATGCACAAAAAAGGATTGACAGTCTCAGATTGTGCCAGTAGAGTTAGATAGTTGTCCCTTCATTCTGATCATGTTACCAATGCTCCTAATTTCCAGAAGAAAACATTTCACCGAAATTCTCTCCATCACTGGACTCATTCATTTGGCCCCTCTTCCGTATGTTCTCTGAGTATCTGAGTGGTTGGTGTTATAGTCCCCCCCTCAGGCATTACTTCTCAACTGCCACTTTCTAGCAGCACCTTGAGTGGATTTAGGACTCTGCATGGACTCCGACTCATGGAAAGAGTGACTGAGACCGAAAGAAGCATTTGCCTAAGTTTAGAAACATGGATATTTAGTATAGAATCTTTTCAGTTTGGCCTAACAACAGGAATAAGATCAACTCTGGGACCTAATATCTTCTCAACCACTGTTTTTTGACCAGTTTGTAACACCAAGAATGGATATCCCTGCCCCCATTTTTTTTGGAGGAGGTCTCAAGTCCAATAATGGGGTAATTAGTTTCACTCTAGCAGTCATGCCTCCTTAACTAGCAGGTTAGGGTTGTTGCTCATAACATTCACTGTCAGGCAAGGCCTTTGATGCCTTAGTCTGTCTCCCTTTTCTTCTTTTCAGTATTCACCTCCCTTCCATCTAACCAATTGCCCCACTGCTCCCTGAATTCAATTGATTACTTTTAACATAATTGCTTGGGTTTTCATGATAAAATGTTTATTTTCATTATTCAAAATATAATGTAAGTTGCAAGTGAACCAGGGCAACTAAAGTAGCAACATTAATTTTCCCACATAATGATAAAACTAAAGACCAAGATGAGCTCAATTTGTATTTGTGAACATTTAGAGCATCATTTTGTCAATAAGGAAGCATTAGTTCCAAAGGTAGCATCCGTAAGATGGATCACTGAACTAGTGAATGTTACAATAGAAAAAAAGAAAGGAAATTTTCATTTAGTTTTGTCAAATTAAAATTTAATGAAGCTAGCAGGATGGCGGTGGTGCACACCTTTAATTCCCAGCACTTGGGAGGCAGAGCCAGGCAGATCTCTGTGATTTCGAGGCCAGCTTGGCCTACAGAGTGAGATCCAGGACAGGCACCAAAATTACATGAAGAAACCTTGTCTCAAAAAAAAAAAAAAAAGAAAAGAAAAAAAATTAATGAAGCTATACCAATTTCAGTGGGAAAAAAAACAAAACAAACAAACAAACAAAACCCAGGAGCCTATAGAGACGGTTAGGTGTTTAAAATCAATTGAGAACCCAGGCTCAGTCCCCCGCCAGCACCACCAGGATGCCTCGCAACCATTTGCAACTCCAGTTCCAAGAAACCATACACATTTTCCTGGTCTCAGGGGGCACCCTGGGAAAAAGCACTGCACATACATAGCTGTAGGCAAACACGCATAGACATTAAAAAAAATTTTTTTTAAAACAGGTATTGTTTTGTTGTCAGAATCAGAAACAGCTCTCACAATATATATTCAGCAATATTATAAAATTATGAGGAAAATAATACTGAAAATGCCAAAGAAACATATCCATAAATATAAAATACAAGGATTAACTTCCTAAATAACATTACTCTCCATTAATTTATAAATAGTATTGGTAACTAACAATTTTTAATTGCATGTAATGACATTGCCACCCCCCAGTTTTTAATGGGTTTTTTATTATTATTAATTAAATTAATTCATTTATCTTACATCCTGACTGTAATTTTGGCTCCCTCCTCTCTTCTAATCTCATTCCCTTCCTTGCTCCCCATTCACTCTTCCTCTGTTTCTGTTCAGAAATAGGCAGGCCTCCCATGGGTATCAACAAAGCATGGCATATCAACTTGCTGTAATACTAAGCTCTACCCCTTGTATTAAAACTGAACAAGGCAACCCAGTGTGAGGAATAGGGTCCCAAAAGCCAGCCAACTTGTTAGGAGCCTCCCCAGCTTCCACTGCTAGGAGTCCCACATGTAGACCAAGCTATACAACTGTCACATTTATATAGAGACCCTAGATCGATCCTATTGATAAATATTAGAGATGATAAACCAAGTAGTGGACATGTGTTAGGATTTAGGCTTTTAATAATTCAGTATTTTTATATTTATTTATTTGTTTGTTTGTTTGTTATAGGGAATGGTTTGAGACAAGCTTTCTCAGTGTAGCCTTGGCTGTCCTGGAACTCGCTCTGTAGACCAGGCTGGCCTCAAACTCATAGAGATCTGCCTGCCTCTACCTCCCAAGTGCTAGGATTAAAGTCATGTACCACCACCGTCCGGCAATTTATTTTTAATTTAAACTTAAATTATCAAACCTAAGTTATCCACAATGAACAATTAGGCTCACCTGCATTCATTCACAAATACTTTTTTTCACATATCCTCTGTATTACATTACATTCTTACAATGGTAAATGCAAACTATTTTGCTACATATTATTTTATTTTGTAATAAATTCTTTAAACAGTTAAAAGGTTGTCCCTGAAAACATTCTGAAAAGGAAGATTGTAGCGACTGAGTAGGTTGGATTTCAGAATATATTTGTATATACATGTACACATGCATGCAACAACAATTAATGGAAAAAAGAGGCTATGAATTTAAAGGAGAGCCCCAAAAACATACGGTAGGGCTAGCAGGAAGGACTATGAAGCGGAAGTGTTATTCTCTCAAAAAATAAAATAAGTATTAAAATAAATAATTTAATCTTTTTCTATGTATTAACTGTAGCATGTTTCATGTACAAAATGCTTATGGAAATAGTCAGAAACATGTTGTTAATGATCCCTAGCAAGTGAGTTTGTTATCTCTGTGTTTATTTCCAGAAAACTGCCTTTAAAAGAAGAAAATGGGAAAGAAGTCCTAAACGCAGAAACTATAGAAATTAAAGTGTCTAATGACATCATCCAGTCTAAAGAAGATGACAGTAAAGCGTAACCGCAAGTCTCAATGGCTTGGTCAGCACCACAAAGAGCAAGGGGATTTCAGTGACAGTATGACCAAACCTATTCCATTGACCTTAATTTCTGGGGAAACGTCTAGCTTGGAATAGCTTGTACACATATACATATGATCAACTCCTCCTGCCACAGTCCATTTCCTTCTGTTGTTGTTGTTGTGGTTGTTTATTTTTGTTAAGAATTTTGGTATAAAGGCTTGATTGGCACCAGTTTTGGGGTATCAGCTTGATTCTATGACTGAAGTACTACAATTTATTATATGGCTAAAGTGCTTTTCTTTTAAAAATTTTGTCTCACATGACACCAACAGATGTATTTCAGCTCCCTAGACTAATAGGTTGTAAGTGGAAGGCAGAGCAAAAGCATTGTAAGCTAAATGTGTACGGAAGCCCTGCATGTTCATGAATCTTATCTTGGGCAAACACACGATTGAAGTGGCTTTCAGGTTAAAATGAAGGCACATAATAAAGGTTATACATTTATCAGGAGAATTTCACGGAACCCAGGCTTGAAGGAGTAAGTTGGTTATTTTTTGCAGATATTAGAAATTGAAAAAATGTTGGAGAACTCTTTTCAACTTATGACCACATTGCATTTTCCACATTGATCTTGGATACACTGATACCAGGCCAAAATTGTTACACATCTAAAAGAAGATTAGTTGTGTGTAAAATTAGATTAGAAAAACTCCCTAAATTCTTTTTATGTATACCATATTCACTCACAGTGGATTACGCAAAAAGTAAATGTATTACAAGTAAAAATGGTATTGATTTCTGCCCTCAGCTTCAAATAAAGTGAATTTAAATGGGAAAATATCAATATGCTGTCTTGATATATTTATAAATACATGATTATTTTTATTTATACAATAATTTATCAAAAATAAAGTTGTTTTCAAGTACTTCGAGTCATATTAGATATGTTTTGGTGTACAGATTTAGGCGGTCATTTTTATTATATGTCCCTTATTAAATGAAAGTGGCTAATGGATATTAAAAGTACATGGTAAAGTGAATTTATTAAACATTCAAATGTGCCAGAAGAGAAATGAGCGATTGAAATGCTACTATTGTTTTATTTTCAAACGGTGTATTTTAAAATACATTCTAAACCCATTTTAAAATATTTAATAAACAGCTATGGTTGAAGCAATCATTTAACTATCAACATAGACTTTCTAATTCCCTTCTTAAGGACTATACAAGAATATGATAGTTACTAACTTACACACTATGCAAACTTCTTAGGTCAAAGTCTGAACTATGATTTAACTCACGTGAAAGGAAAAACACGTTTATGGCTGTCAATAAACGTAAGTGAGCAGCAGAGTTTAGATAATTTCTTAAGTCAGAGTTGCTAAGGTTTCTATGTTCTCCCTCCTCCTCATGACCTTTGGTATTCTGGTATCAAGTGAATAGCTCCAATATTGATGCATTGGAGAATACATTCTGATAGTTCATTGGAGGAATATTTTTAACAGTGAAGACAGACCTGCTTTTACACCATCTCTCTTTAGAGGTAATTTCATGAAAATTAGATACCATATTAGTGCCACTCTGGAATACTTTTATTTATAAAGTGCTTAAACTTGTCATCCAAGGAGAGAAAAATGATTTATTGTATCTTGTACCTCATCTGCTGGCTGTCAGCTAGACTGAATGTGCCCAACTGCATATAAAGATGCTGTAATCTCCACAGTGCTTTTCTGGAAATTCAGGGTTAATGCAGGGATCTCTCCTTGCTGCCCATCCTGGCATATTCTGAACAGAGAGAGAGAGAGAAACCCCGCCCCCCAAAAAAAGAGAAATCTGTGCCTATTTAAGAATCTGAGCAGAGACTAAAATAAGCAAACAAACCAGTTTAACCCTTTGACAAACTTGATTATCAAACACATTCTTGATAGATTTGCCTGGGATGTTTAGCTTATGTTTGTCTGGTCATTTCAGTTTCAGGTTTTAGTTGTACTTCATTTTGCTTGTTTTATTTTTGTACCAAATGTGCTAAAACTAGTCGAAATACTTGAATTTTTTTGTGTAAAGTGAACAGGCTTATTAGTGGTGTCTATGAAGCAATAGCCATGAACACTGATTTTTCCTGGATAGAACCACATGGTTTTAAACTAACGATATTAAAATAATTTGTATGGCTGATAAAGCAATTTCGCATGTTTAGAATTGTCATATTTGTGCTATATCACAGGAACAGAGAATTCAGAAAAACAAATTTTTTGTGTGTTTTCTCAATTTGAAGCTTTAGTTTCTTCATGTCTTCAGATTTTCTATGAAAAGAAACTGAATTAAATTTATATACTTAGTGTTAAATTTCTTGTCCATCTTATGGAGTCATTCGGTAACTTTGGATAGAGTTCATGCCCAATTTCAGTTGTTTGGGAGATGCTGAACCAGTACTGTCCTTGAAATCAATGCTCTGCAGACAACATATTAATGTGGTAAACATTTTAAAATTTCAAAGAAATTCTCCTAAAATGACACAATTTGTAAAGTTTCCAAATAAGAATGTCATATAGTGAATTCTCAACTTATGAGTAGCCTGAAATGATTTCTTATTTTTTTTAATCTTGTTTTAGAGTAAATGAATTTATGTAACTTTTACTATCTGAAAGTCCAGTTCCATATAATAATCAAGTGTCCACTAGACAAAATTTAGGTATTGTTAAGATCATCTAAACTTCATGCCAATTTAAACACAGAACAAATGTAAGGTTGGGAGCAGACAAAAAATGACAATCTCTATTCGACACCCCATAAGAGGAAGTTTTAATATTTGAATTTTAATACATATTTTATTTTTAAAATCGATGCAAATGTGTCAAAGCAATTTACAATGATTTTTGAATGTGTTAAAATTGTGATTTCAACAGGTTAATTTATTATTTTGTGGATAATATATATTACTGTTCTATTTATACTAATGTCTAACATTAACAGTCTTTAAAACTTTTATTTTTTTAATATTAATAACTACATCATTTTTGAAAGACTTTTGATCCAACAAATGTCATATGAATCTTAGTCTTTGTGTTAATCATCTATATAATATGATATTAGTTATCAAATAAATTATAAATTCCAGCAATTAATTGTATATTAAAATTATCTTTTTGTTTTGAATAATTAACTGGTATTTGTGCCTTTACATTAGCATGGCATTCAATTAAAGAAAAATTACAACTACTATCACTATTTACAAGTTTTGATCATACATGTGACTTTAAAGCTGGATTTTTTACAATCAATGAATAAACTTTGTTCCAACCTCTTTCCCTGAGACACAAAATCCAAATATATATATATATATTCAAGTTTATTTTCACTTATAATAAAACAGTACTGTAGTCCAACCACGAGATACTTCAGTTGGTTATATATTGTTTTTCTAGGTGATAAGTCCAGATTGGGAAAACCGTGATGTTAGCACTAAGAAATACACCAGATGCTATTTAGAATCAGGGCAATTACTGTGGGGTCACTTGGGTCTTCATTGTTGCTGTTGAGATCATAAATCATCTATGTGAAGATAAGATAAACAAGATCAAAATATCTATAATTGAAATATTAGAAAATTTTACATTTTTAATTTAAAAAATATTGGTGAAGCATATCATAGTTATTTAAAATTACATTATTTTTCATGGAGTATGATGTAAATGCTTAGTTTGTTTTCCAAATAGAGTTCTGAATTTTTTTAACAAACTCTATAGATGCTGAAAATCATTTTACAATGAGAATTTTCTTATTTATCTCCAATTTCTATTTCTTAATTAACTGTTTGGAATATTATGTCTAAAATTGAAATAGCATATAGATATATTTACATATGCTAAGCTTAAATTGTGGTTGGATAAAAATTCAAATTTAATCACAGAAGTTAAATTATTCAAGATAATATTTATATATATATATATATGGTCTTAATAATATTCTAATATGAGACAACCATTTGTTTGTATAAACACAAATATTATAAAGGCCTAGCAATAGTAAGTGCTGAGTACATATAATTTTCTTCCAGGCTCCACCCTTTTTTGGTTTAATATTATATTTACCCATTAAGATGCAGATATTTAACAACAGTCTACAAAATTACTAAAATAATAACTCTCTTCATATAATAGTCTCTGACTTTTATATTATATATAATAAATATTTATTTGATAACATATATAATATTCTCAAAAAAGCTCATTATTTCTATATACCTTTATAATAATTTAAATCATTCAGTTAATACAGTTTCTTTAATTTTCTTTATTTTACAACAGTTTTGTAGTTACTGACCAGACATTGTTCATTGGTGATTATTATAGAAATTGGCCATGTAAATTTATATATCACAACTTTATTCGTTTCTTACTTACAAACTCATACTTTCAGTGTCTAATTTTAGCCTTGCATGGAAGAAAAATGATAAAGCAATGATGCTTGAAGCATTTCTATCAATACCAAACTGAAGAATTAAGGGAAAAGGAAATGAAATTATCAGGAGAATGAATTTCCTGGTTTAGAAGAGACACAGAAATGCCTAATAGAAGAATAAAATCATTTTAAGTGAATATTCAGGCCAATAATCGTAGAGCAAAGACAAAACAGTAAGGGCATCTGGAAGTCTATGTAAGCAGAGATAGACTTTATAATTCAATTTGCAAACAGAATATTTAACAACATGCTACAGTAACAATAATATCACTAAAAACAAAAACAACTATTTTGCATCTTCAAAAAATGTTATTGGTTAGGATTTGTCTCTAACCCCTTTGAGAATTTAATCAACTTCATAATAAAAATAATTAAAAAACCACATTTGGAGGTATGTGAATTTGATTCTCTATTCAATAATATTAAAACACGCAGTCCTTTTTATTTTTTTTAACTTATACATTCTGTCCAAATTCTGTATAGGTAACTCTCTTGTTTTCTTATTATTTCAATATAATATGTCCCTATGAAATGCTGTATATATATGTTTAAACTGTAAAAAGTATACTGCAAATGTTGAAGTTTTGTATTTATGAGAGACATTGAAAGTATGGCTTATGGTATTTCAAAATTGTCACTCTTCACCATTTGTATATTAATAGTAAAGATACTTTTACTTTACTAAAGTGTCAAATTTTATTTTTTTCTAGCCCTAGCTCAGTAGTGAGAGAGCTTTATGTAACAAAAATCTTAATTTCCAGAACTTACAAAGACAGTACTAGACAACCAGAAGAAAAATCCTTTCTGTCATTTGTATCATTTGAATAGCAGGATTATGGCCTATAGACAGTGCCCTGATCAGAGAAACAAATGTAAATAACTGATTTAGAGACATGCCACACCAGTTTCATTAGTATCACCAAGGAAACCATAAGAAATAAACTTGTATGAATCGGGAACATAAACCAGTATATCTCCAGACTCTTTGATAGGAACACAGACATTGTCTTAATGAGACTTACTTGTTAAGGTTGTACAGAGCGAAATTTGAGTGTACCTGCATTTCAGATACATTGTTGGTTTTGTTGACTTTTCTACATGTTTATTTTTCAAGAAATTTAAGAAATTATACGTTAGCATAGGGTACGATTTGTTGCCAAACCATGTGATTTATAAAATTAAGAAACAAGCCTTGAGAGGAATTGTTTACCCAGCAGTCACGAATTTTGGAAACAGTACTTACACAAGCAAAGAGGACAGTTTAAAAAGAAAGATCAAAAAGGAAGATACTCTAGATAAATTTATACCAAAAACCTAACATCCATTTCTACTTTATGTTGAAATTCTATTTCACATTATTGACTTTAAAAGAAGGGTCTTATAGAAATTGAACATATAAATTTATATTTCACAATTTTATTTTCCTTTTCTGAGAAAAAACTCATTTATTTTAGTGTCTAATTTTGGCCTTTCATGGAAAAGAGGTCTCCCTCCCACAAAAAAAACCTCAATGGTTGCTGGATCCTAACAGCTCCCGGGGTGGGGGGGGGGGGTTTGGGGGCAGAGAAGGCACAGCATCAAAGGCTCACACACTGGGAGTCAGTTGAAGACAAATAACAAACTTATTTATTCAATAACAGAGAAGGCCTTATATTCCCTCCTCCCAGCACCCAGTCTGCATGGTCATCCCTCATTGGCTGGGCATTATCAGGAACACTGACATTGACCAGGAACTCTGACAGCACCCATTACTAGGCCCTCAGGCAGACTCTAGGTTGGCTCATAAGGAAGTACATTATGTGTATGCCTTGGCAACTGGTCTGAGCCAATTTCCTGGACCCTGTGGGCCTGTCCTACTACACTCCTCAACATGTCTGCACAAACATAAGCTCAACAAGCCTGACACCAGTAGACATTCGAATGCGGAAGTGGAAAATCCAATGGGTATGAACCATAAAGAACTACAGGCAACAATAGGACTGGTAAAGGTAATAGAAATAGTCTCCCTTAGTGAAGAAAACACCAGTTTGGTTATCCTACACCAAATAGTCAGCCCTAGAAACCATACAGGCAAGTAACATTATACAGACTGAGCAGGATGCATTTAGAAATACATGTGTATAGAAGTGTTTGCATGCAATAACAATGAATTTGAAAGAAAGCAAAAAGGAAGGGGTATATTAGAGCCTGGAGGGAGGAAAGGAGAGGAAAGAAATGTAATTATGTCATTGTGTTTTTAATAAATAAACAAACAAACAAACAAAAAAGAATTTGTATGTTTTTATGTTTTACCAGGTTTGCCCTTTCTGTATTCAGTTTTTTGTTTTGTTCTGTATTGTTTTTATAAATATACATTTCTACAGGGGATTTAAAATGTTGTTTGTTTATTTTACTGTTATTGTTAAACAACTATAAAATCATCATTTGAAACAAAACAAACTAAATTAACAAAAAATCCCCAACAATACTAGATGTCAAAATGTTAAAGGGGCTTTTTTCAACACAGCTCTTCTCCAAAACAAGACATCCTCTTTTGTGGTTTAATTTTTCAAAGTAGATTTTATCACCTAGAAGCACCATTTTTTTTTTAAATTTATGCTTTGGAAACTGGGTTACCATATTGTCAAATGCATCAGTAGGTCAAGTACTCTATTTTTTAGTATAGTACATCATAAAGGTAAACCTTGAGTATGGTCCCATTTGAGAAAAGTAGGTAAACTTGTGCTTGAGTTCAGTCCAGTACCTTGGCTGCGCCATCATTCTCCACACCCCCTACTTCCATCCTTCTCCTATCATTTGGCAGTCTGAAATTGACTTAAAAAGACCAATATAGAGAATAAAAGAGGGAAATTGTGCCACATTTGTGCACAATCTTACCTACGAGTTGAAATAATTCAATATAAATTTTCATAGGAGGTTCATGTAGAACTAGAATTTTCCTTTGGTTAAGGAATTTTTATTCTTTGTATTTAGGAGCATGACTAGAGAAGAGAGAACACACATGTCATTCATAGTCAAATTTTCAAAAGATGCCCAAAGTTATGGGAAATGAGACACATAGGCAGAATTAGTCAGCGGGAATTATGAAATTTTGTTTCTGTGTTTGACTATGTGAATATTTCATAGGAATTTAAAAAAGAAACATGCTTAGAGAAATGTAGATGAATATTTTACCAAATCAAAAATTAAGAAAGTCAAATGTAGTAGCCATTTAAAAAGATAAGGGAATTGTTTCTCATTTTTTTCTTATTTCACAAAATAATTGTAAAATAATTTTTTACTATATATTACATACATACACTGACTTTTTGATTTACTATATTAAAATATGGAACACACTAAATATTGATGTATTTGACCATATTCTAACACACATGTATATCAAAAGGAGGTTTCACTAATGTGACTTATGGACTGTGGTCTGGCTGGTCCAATAGTAGCTGTCTCCTAGTAGGAAGGCCAAGAATCTGATAGTTGTTCAGTCCCCCAGGAAGCAAGATGTCTCAACTGGTCTTCAGTTTACCTTGGAATCCCAAAGAAATAAGGGGTAATACCAGCTAAGTATTGCTACAGCCGGACAGATAGACTAGCAAGTGAGGGAAGGCAGTCAAGAACAACAGCTTCTTTTCTTTCAACTGTAGAACTCAGATTTACAGTGGTTCTTCAGACATCATAGGATCCAGAATTAGAATCAGTCTTCCTCCCTCAAATAATCCAATTATGAAAAATCCCTCATAGATATGCCCAGCCACTTATAAGTTATCCAATTCCAGAGGTACTCACTTGGACCACAATGATTAATTATCACATGTGTGCAAACATGTAATTATGAGAGCTTTGAAATCTTACTAAAAATAAAAAAAAACCCAGATATGGAATCAGCAAAATATTCCTATACTCAATAACCTGATGCTCTGTATATTGCAAGTTATTGATTTAAGAGCTTTATGTAGAAATTTATTTTATGCTCCAGGTAAGAAGTGTTGGTTGTGATGTGAATAATATTCATCTTGAAGTGCTCACCTGTATTTACTGATCAATGCGTATTGAGTTCATCATTCACACTTACAACATAGCAATGAAAAATTGTGATTGTGAGTCCCCTATCTTCTGTCTTTGAACACTAATTCTGATATGAAATTGTGTTAGGCAGTTATCTAATGCAGCTGAGTGACACATCAATCTGAAATGTAATGATTTTTAAAATACTAGCTTTCATGATTCTGTGTCAATTTGACTAAATTGGCATTTATTTTTCACTACATTTTGGCTACTTGCTTTAAAAGGAGCTAAAAAATAGAAATCCAAATTATATTCATCAGTCCCTGTTTACATCAGGCTGGCAATTTACACTTGGATTACATAAGACATTCACATGAGTAGGTATATGGTTGTCATAGGAGAATACTTATTGGCTGAACAATGACCATTTATCTTCTTTGTACCCCTCACCTCAGAACATATTGTATTTGAAAGCAATGCAGACAAATATGATGATTAGAAATCTTAATAACACTCAAAATTAATAAAATTGCTTGGCTTATTTATCACAAGCAGATATTTCTTCAAAACTTTTTCAAATAGGATCTCTCTGTTCAGGCATTAAATCAGTTTTAAGGATACTACAGATTTCAATAATTGTCTCATAACCTTCAATTTGGCCTCCTCATCCCCAAAAGCACAAAGACGATGAAAGAACTTCTACATTTTTCTTTCATTAAGAGATCTCTTAATGATGCCAGTTTCTGTTTCATTTATCAGTATTGCTGTATTAATTTCTACTGTTACGTTTAGAAATCATAAAGACTTTAATGTAGCTTGAGTTTTCCTGACTGGCCCACAGTCAGGACAAATCTCTGTCACCCGCCAGTCCCACAGCCATTCAGACCCGACCAAGTAAACACAGAGACTTACATTGGTTACAAACTGTATGGCAGGCTTCTTGCTAACTGTTCTTACAGCTTAAATTAATCCATTTCCATTAATCTATACCTTGCCACATGGCTCGTGGCTTACCGGCATCTTCACATGCTGTTTGTCATCATGGCGGCTGGCAGTGTGTCTCTGACTCAGCCTTCCACTTTCCAGCTTTATTCTCCTCCTTGTCCCGCCTATACTTCCTGCCTAGCCACGGGCCAATCAGTGATTTATTTATTGACCAATCAGCAACACATTTGACATACAGACCATCCCACAGCACTTTAATGTCTTAAAATCCAGCAATTATACCTCTCAGGTCTCTGCTTGCCTCAACATACCTCCTCCTCTGACTAGGATTCCATGATTCCTTACTTTTTATCAAATCAAAAGGATCAAAACACTTTTTATTTCTTACTTTTTCTCATATTTTAGCCTGATCTGGAAAATCACTTTTTACTTACATTTTCATAATATGAAGTGAACACATTTTTTGAAGTCGTTATATGCCCATTCTAGTCTACATAACAGGGCACTGAGAGCACAGCAGTTTAGTAAATAACTATATTTTGTCTTATTTGTGTGTGTAGTGTGTATTAATTTGGCTCAAGCTTATGTTTTTTTCCTATGGTTGTATTATGTTAAAGTCCAATGTTGTTTCTAAAGGAAAAATATAATCATCTATATATACATACATACATATATACATATATATATATACATATATATCATATTCTTGACTTACACAATTACAAATTCTGAAAGTTTG